ACCAGGTCACACAGAACTAAATTTGTTGGGGCCGCGCTTGTAAGTCTTGTAACGGAGGAAATGTTCCAGCAAATCAAATTTCCTCAGTGGCCGGCGGCATGCCTCGGACAGACCAAGACAAGTTGATAACACACCTGGGGGGAAATAGATTCCATATTCTGATCACAAATCGCAGATTTTGGAAAGGATGTCTTTGCAATTACGGCGGCTTAGTAATGTTTGCTCTTCGGGGAGAGGTTTTTAGGGGAGGGAGTTTTTGCCCCGTCATTATTGAAATCCACTGATTAAAGGTTGTTGGCTTGAGTGATCGTTAATGTATCCAGTATTATGGCAAGACACATATTGTCCATACGAATTCAGTGCATTTCAATCAAGATGCAAATATAAAATTGAAAAGGCTGTAGGTTTTTTGTTTGTACTCGCTTATTCTGATAGAGTTGTTGACTTTTTAAAAGGCAAGTATAATCGATTTCATCATTAAAGTTACCTTACTTCACACATATTTCTTTTGCTTAAGTTTGGGGAATTTGAAGACATTTCTTTTTGACTTTCCAGTTATTGCATCTTGTTTTCCATATGTAATTTCTTTACGTTACAAATATGAAAAAAAAACATCTGTCGGTTGCTCCTATATTTTTGCTCAATTGAACACTCCAAAACTTCACAGAAGCAAAAGTATACTTGATGAACACTTAAAAATAAATTGTAAATTTAAACTTTTAGTCCTTCCTGTCTATTACTCAATGTAGCACAAAACTGCCTGAGCGCTCTGTGGTTTTTATGGATCATCAGTGAATGAACACAATGTAATAAAATGTAATACAATGTAGTAAAGGAGCTAATGGTTTAAACAACCTTACAGAAAACCCTCATATTTATCAGGACCAACATGAGAAACCATTTTCTTTGGCTGAGCAATACTGCCAATCCTTCTCGTGCAAAGGATTTTGGTTTTATCGCGCCAAAATAAGGAAAATATTTAGATCTCTGTTCGTATTATGACATTTATAGAATCCCACGTTATCATCGATCTCATCCAACCTTTCCACAAGGTTATCAACCCCTGAGACATGCCACAGATACTCCTCATTCCTCGTCAAAAAAAAAAAAAAAAAAACGAAGACAGAAAAAAGTGAGCTAAGAGAAAAGAAAAAATAACGACACAGGGTGGAACCGAAAAGTGAAAAGAAAAAAAATTGCGTGTGAGTAATTATTCTAAACTTGTCATCCCTCCTGCTGTGTGTCACACGGTGGCGCTGTTTTGGAGGCTAATGAGCCAATGGCTATGGCCCATTTGCTTGACTGGCTTTTTCTCCCCCCGAAGATGAGAAAACACTGAAAGTTTTGGTTGGGCGCCAGCTGTGTCAGCCTCTGGTTTCAGGCTGGGACAATACCTGAAATGTCTGTCGGTAACCGGTGGAGGTGTTTAAAGGCATCGTGAGAAACGTTGGGTGACAAAATCATCAGTGCCGGACTGAAATTATGATTCATAATATGAGCACTTTCTGCATACACCATGAAAAGTGACTTTCTCTAGATAGCTTGTTCTCAGATTAATTGACACTTGTAAAAAAAAAAAAAAATAACGTACCTGACGTAGACAACGTTTCAGTCAGTATGTTGTGACAATCATCATAATTTCCAAAATCCCAATATACAGGATTTCCCTTAACCTAAACTTTTCACATTTTACTTCCATGTACTTTGCAGTGATTTAAATAAGGTTTTTTAAATGGTTTTAATTTTGTTTATACAATAGAATCTTTTTTCATATTTTCCTACCGACTTTGTGTAAAAATAAAGAAGATTTTTTCGAATAATTCAGGTCAGCAAATGGTGAATAAAACTTTTTAGCTGCGTGTTTCATGCTAGTAAAATAGTTCATTTTATTAAAGTCTGTATACTGTGAAAAAAAATGTCACATAGGTCCCCATTAAAGGCCCTCGTTAAAAATGGGCGTACCTAACCATCAGAGTTATGTCTAAGTGAAGCAAGCCTTTTTGATGTGATTGGGCTGGGAACCAGTTTTATTCTTCTTTTTTTCCTTCTAGTTCCTTTGTCCCGACTTTGGTCCGACCAAAGTGCATCTAATGTCGCCGTACTTTGTTGTACTTTCACGTCGTGCCTTGTGCCATTGTCCTACACACCAATCCGTCGCCCTTCCCATAGCCTACGGCAGAGTTGTGTCAGTCTGCCCAATTGACGAGAACAGGATGATTTTGATTTTTATTTTAATATTTTTTTTTTTATTCTGTGTAAATAGTCACTCCTTTTGGGGTTCCAAAATTTCCAGCACATGGGAATTTCAATTGTTTAAAGAGGAAATTGGCCAATTGATGTGTGCTTGGTGTAAATGGAAGTTCTTTTTAATAAGAATCGGAACTTTCTTGTGCAGATGATAGTGCTAAAGTCATGGGTCTCTAACTGTTATCGGAACACACGTGTTTACGTTGCATAACTAGTGTGGACATTCCTTTGTTTTCGTGTAGTTAAGAAAAACCTGTGAAAAAAATCAGTTTACTCACACTGTGAAAACGCTTTCAACCCAAATTTGTTACTATGATTCCATTGAGTGTTTCTCTTCATTTTACGACGGATGAACCTAACCCCAAAATGCTTGTAAACCTGTTTTCCAGAGAGGAGGAAACCTTGTGTGGACATGGGCAAGTCCACACAAGTGTCTGAAAACTGGTTTATGTGGACATCTTTTGTTCGGAAGTCCACACAGTGAATGTAATGCTTGTACACTCTTGTTTGATTAGTATTCATTAATTAAGCTGTATAGAGGTCGTTTGTTTGAATATTTCAAGTTTTGTCATTGAGAGAAACACAGATAATGCAAAGGCACTGATACAGGTCCAGTAGTGACAGGGGTTTTATAAATAAAGGAGGTAATTTTCCTGTTCTGTAGAAAATCCATTGATCATCTCTTCAAATATTGTTTGTGTTTTGCCTGTATTCAGATGCATTCAGAGTGTGCGTTACAATTTGATGGACCCCAACCTTCCCTAATCCATCAAACTCCATCCCCCCATTTTGGGGTTTTTGGTAGGCAAGCCGTGAGTACCAAGTCCATCAAAATCCACCTATAGTAGTGGTGGTCTTGTGGTGGATTTCAGCAGTTTTGGTCCTGAAGCATTATGTGAAGCAGGGTCAGTGATGGATTTTGGCGGACTTGGTCCAGTACTCAGTAAAAGACACAAGGGAGTTAGGGTTAAGCAATGGAGGTTTGCACTAGAAACATCGAATAGAAAGACTGAGTTGAAAGTTGGTTAGAAGAACTGGTGGGTTAACAACCCAACGTTTCAACCTTAATGCACTGATCATCTTGAGGGCTAAACTAACTAAGCAATCAAAACAGCGTTCAAATTTCTCTATTGATGGTCTCCCAGACTAATCCCCGCCCCAATCACTTGGATACATTCGAAGTCCGCAGTGGATGGACCGGGAACCAGTCAAGGTCTCCCCCAACTCTCCTTTTCTGGCTGTTGAAGGGGTACTTGTGCACGGAGCCCATTGTTACAGTGTATGCCTAAAATGACTTGCTTCATAGTATTCTGTTTTCCATTTCTGAAATTCAAAGTTTTACCTACCCCATAGCTGTTTTGTTACAATTTTAAGCAGTTTACCTACAAGTGACCCATCATTGATAGCCTGCTAGAACCGTTCCCATTGCTCCCACTCCATCCCCACACTGGTCCCTGTCCCTTGTCTCAACACACACCCCTTCAACAATCAATGTCAGTACAAACACTCTCCTAATGTAGCATTGTCACTGGGACGTAACACACATCGCATCGTCAAGCCAAACCCCTCAGTGCCCCACACTCTCACTCTCAATACGTAAATACCAGAACGTGTCCCGACATTTATCCAGCGGTCCTCGTCAGGGGTTTGGCAACGGCGTCCATTTCACCCCCCCCCCCAACATTAATGGCCGTTAAAGGTGGATTAATATAAAACACAAGAGCTCAGAGACTGGGAGACTCGTGATGAGTACTGCTACGCATGGCCGGAAACGGCAAACACCATTTACCACGTTTTGGACAGTTTCCATACGAGACCTTTAAAATTGCTAGTAAAAAAAACCAACGAGAAACCTGCCTCAATTTGGAGTGCGCTGCAATGCTTGGCTGACGATACTGGATAATGTATCAAACTAGATATCCTTACTGAACATACACAAGACACTTTTATGTCTTATTTTTCAGGCTTTTTCGGTGTAGGCAAAGATTGGCTATGCCTACATGCCTTTTGTGTTTATTTTTGCGCGAAATCTGATCGTTGTATGAACCAGTTTTTAAAGCAACGTTTCACTGACTGTAATTTCGACCCGTGTCTGGGCACGATTACAAAAATCTGCTTGAATATTGTTAAATTTTGCTTAGAGGAAATAAGTAAAATTTGGTCAGAAAAAAGAACAGATATCATAAAAGAAATTCAGTTCCCAGAAGTTGGAAGTACTTTCATGTATCTGTGTACAGCAGAAAACAGTTTTCCCTCATGTTTTTGAGGGGGAAATATGTTGGATAAAAATTAGCTGTGTTGGATCATTTTTGGCATTCATTAATTCCTCAGAGTGCAACTATATGTTGGTTACTTTCTTCAAGGTTGATAAAACGGGATCATGTTGCCTAAAATTGGATTTATTGCTAATACTGTGTTCATGATTTCCTTTATTCTCAGAAAATAACCACAATTGTGAAATCAATTTTTTTATTTGAAATGGGTGTGTTTACTGAAACAATCAGCAAAGTGCGACATTCTTTTGCAATCTCTTAGGCTTTTCCTGCGACTGTCCCGAAAGAATTCGTGGAAATGGATTAACAGAGGGAATGGAAAAACACAGTGCCATAAAAATGTATTCTCTGGAATTTGCTTAGAGAATTAGAAAAGACAAGAAATGGTGCAGGGAGAAGATAAGTGTCGTGGCCCGGTCAGTTGAAACCATGAATTACGGCAAAGACTCATATCATTTTCTTTCCTGGTGTGGCTTACAGGTAAAAAGAGCGAGGACAGACAGTGACGGAGCCAGCGAAAACCACACACAGTCATCCACAAGGTAGGCACGCACAATCAATGTTATCAGTTACTGCAGAAAAACCTGCCGTGCTGTTTTACAAACCAACCCAATGTACTGTAACAACTGCGGCTGAATTTCACGGAGCTTGCAAGCAGAAAATATTCCCATGTGCTTAAACACCAAATCGTTGAGTTTACAATCAGTCACTTGCCGTGTCCACTGTCCACTGCATGACCCTTTCGCTGAAAAACTGTTTTCGCCTAACAAATTATCTTTTATTCTTAGAAACTCTATTGCTCTTTTTACGGAACGTTGCCCGTGCATCAGTTGTCAGCCAAATTGATTTTACTTCCCTTATCAAAAAATATCCCCCAGAGCCATTGATCAATAAGAAAAATAACATCTACTTCACCCGAACTCCTTACTATCTTTTACCAAGTACTGGACCAAGTCTGCCAAAATCCATCAATCACACTGCTTCCAAGTCCACCATACTCATCAATATTTAGTCAAACCAGGCCTGCAGGACCAAGTCCCCCCAAATCCACCAAAATGGGAAGATGGATTTTGGTGGAGTTAGGGAGGTTTGGGTTAAACAGTACAATTTCATTTAAAAGAATAAAATTCAAGAAAATACATTTTGGGAAACTAGAAACAAAAAGTGAAGATTCGAACCCTGCACCTTAGGCACTCACTCGTTTATCCTGTTGAGTTATCAAAGCACTTCATTCGCTATAGGAATTTTAAACCTCATATCGCTGTTAGTAATAATTTTAAACCTTATGTAGATTCGCAATGTTATGTTCCCATTCCTTAAAGGGAATATACATCATTGGCTTTTGCTGTAATTTTCAGAAATGAACTATTTGAGGGGTTAGTATAATAGATCAAATATTGTTACACTGACATGTTTGAAGTTTTGTATTCGAAAATGCTGGAAAAACCAAGAAAAACAAAACTGTTCAAGTAGTCTGGTTCCCTGACTCCACTAAATTTAAAATGGATCAATTTACAGATGCCGGAAAATTGTAACGCAACGGTACCAGTCTAGCTGGCCTGCACCCGTTCATGAACATGTTACCAATAGCAAACAAAATTTGGACTGAATTAATGGTAAATTTGGAGCAGTAGTTGAAAAATAGTTAGGTTTTTCCAACGGTGGTCGGCCGACCACCGCTGGAAATTTTTTACAAAAATACCATTTTCTTGAAAATGACTTCACACCAGGTGCCATAATTTTACAGGATGCTTTAGACTGTCATTTACCAACATCCTATAAAGGTATTTCGCAAAAACTTTGTAGTTTTATTTTTCGATGTTTGCAAATGTTGTATATTCCCTTTAACTATAGCTGTTGAAAAACACAGATCCATTGCTTTCATTAGAATAGGCGCTCAATGGAATTGGATCTTTTTGGGCCAATTTTATTGAGAACAGCTAAGTGCAGAAACGACTTGCTCAGAAAAAAAATGTAGTTACTTTTGTCATTATCTACCTAGCCACAAGAACAATTTGTATATTTGTTTATCCGGAACTTTAAATAAAAAAAGTATCCCCCGAAACAAATAATGAATACATAGTGATGGATATGTTAAGGAGATGTCAAACGAATTTGCAATACATCCTGAATATGTATTTCGCAGCCCTTTAAAACATCTTGATAGAGCAAAATTCATACTGTCACACTTAAACAAACAGTTCATCCAGTGCATATAAAATTTACCATTAGTCTCCTCATCAGCCATATCATGGGATGTCTGGCACTTGATAAATTTATTACTGTAATAAATAATGGAGTGCTGTGGGAGTTGTTGGTGCAGGTGTTTTGAGACTGTCCCTAATTAACCAAAAGACAAAGGGATGAGACAGTATATGGTTTGGTACATGTTTCAGGTAAATTCGTGGGCCTGTTCTACTTTCTAAGGCCTTGGTTTTGTCTGGAAAATGTCTTTATTGTTTTCCTGCTTTTTAAAGGTAATAAAACATTTTGTTTTGCTCTTATTTTTCAGAAATGGATGGATTTGGGGGTTGGTGTTTTATAGCAAATATTGTTACACTGACCTGTTTATAGTTTTGCGTTCATAGATGTAGGGAAAAAAACAAGGAAAAAAATGCTGTTCTCGTAGTTCCTGACCCTACTTCAGAGGAAACGGAGCAATTTCTAGACGTCAAAATAAAAAAAAATGAACTTTTGAATTTGATGCTCTAAACAGTTGTCATCAGTAAAATTGAAAAGGATGTCAGAATAATGAGGAAGAGCTAACAGGTTTTCATTCTTGTCTACTTCAGAAGTAATTATAAAAAATAATAATCTTATATAGCGCCAAATCCAAGATGCTTCACAATGATTAAAAATTAACTAAAAACCTTAAAAACAAATTGTTGCAATAAAAAATAAATACAAATTACATTTAAAAGCTATATGACTAAATACATAATGAAAACAAAAAGTCAAGCCCAATTTATTTCATACAATAACATTATAGAGGTTTGAAGAGTCATCATATCTTCAGCAAAAAAAAAGACTAACACACTAAAAATAAGATTTAAAAACAATGACTAAAAAGATTGAAATATAACTTAGGAAAAAACACACACAGATAGAACGACACAAGCATTCAAGTTACCTGTACTTGTTTTGTTTATTAGCCAGAACAACTTCTCTTCTTCTTATTAGTTTGTTTCCTTTTTATAGCTTCATGGTTTTACCATGGTTTTACTGACCAGTGTTTATCATGGTACTGTCCCTTTGTTTATCATATGTTTGATAGCATTATCTGACTAGCATTGTGAGGCCGCAGCATGACAAAGAAAGCCTTATTGTGCAGGGAACAGAAACAATGGGCTAAAGAGATGTGCAAGGTTTTATTTTTTTTTGTCCAAGCTCTTGATTTTCTCACCAGGAATCAAGCCTGAGGCCGTGGGGCGACTGGGCCCAGTACCTCCCATCACTTGTCAGTGTATTGTGTGGTGAGCACAGTGGGGTGTTCACATCTTTTTTTTTCTTTCTCAGTGCCTGGTACCAGTGGTAGTAGGTGTGGAGAAAGAAATCCATTGAGATGTGACCACAGAACTTGGCCCTGTGGCCCGCTACTCCACACTCACGCAGATTATGCGGTGACACAGCACCGAGCTGTTCCCATTGGTCGGCTGAAGATTGGGAGGGTTGGCCCAAACCATTTGCCAGGGGTTAATACAGTACATGGGATGTGTATGTATTGACTACTATTACTAGGCTAGAAATCACTGACTGTACAGTGGTGAGTGTGTAGACCCATGATGGTTCTGTACAGGCAGTGAATCATTGTGCTTGATGAGTGGTGGAAACATGAGTTCTTCTTTCAGCTCTGCGCGTATCTGATTATTATGGCCATCCTAAGCCCTATTTGGGGTATTTAGAGAGATTTAGTGTGTTAATATCCCTGTTGTGTTACTCGGAGGAAAGGCTACTGTTACTGTTCGCCATTGAGATACGGGCAAGGTGGATCTTTTTTTTGGTGGAGTACATGTGTGGCAGTCTTGGATTTTTTTTCTTCCTCCATCGGTGCTGTGTTGATCATTGCCAAGACGTGGTTGTTGCTGAGTAGAATCATAGTGTCTTGAATGGGTTGGTGAGTGTTTCTTGTTTATACATGCTATTTGATTGTCTTACTCTCACTAGTTTTTGTCAAATTGAAAACTGTATCACATTCTTAAAGAATCATCTGTTACACAATTGATAAACAGTAAAAATGTTTCTTTTTTCCTCAGATTTGTCATGGTTGATGTTAATGATAATGTCATGTTACATGAATTTTCTGACCGTGTGAATGAAATTTACTGCACAAAAATGCAAATCACTTGTTATTCATGTTGTTCGATAGAAGACATTTGAACGTGAATAGTCATTATTGCACCTTTATCATGTTTATGACATACTCTCCATGCCCATTGCCTTTGAATGTTTGTAAGATTTCACTGCCTTAAATTATACGCGAATTAGTTCCATGATGTACAAGTACATTAAAATATTCAGCAACTCTATGGATGTACTTTTTATGTAGGCAGAAAGTCAAACATAATATATATAACATTATTAAGGCATGGCATGACTTGCACATTAACTATTTCACCACAACATGAAAATGCTGAAATGTGTTTAACTAAACTGAAATCCTCAGAACGAAATCAACCTACATTCATGACATTGGAAACTGCCGTCAAATAAACTGTGAGTGTGATCATAGCTCCATGCCATGGTGTGATAGACCTTAAAAAAATGTAAATGGTGGTCTCGATCTCCGCTGTTGGATATCAAAATAAATGAATAATATATAGAAACTGTTTTGCAAATCAAAGAGTTAAGTTTTTATATTTACGTAGGATGTTTAACAAAGGATATATGTGTGACAACATGAATGTTTCAGAGAATGACTCAGGAAATCGGGAAAGGTTATTCGACAAACACTGTCTGATGAAAACATCCTTTTGGATGTACAGGGTTAAAAGCAATGTTAATTGTACAGTGAAATTTGGGTAAAAAAAACAGAAGAGCAGAAATGGATTAGGCCATTTTATAAATTTAGGGGCCCCTTTTTTTTCCTGTCCCAGTTGCAATGGACATGTGAGGCATTCTTGCAAACTGAGACAGAACTGGGCAGAGGTCGAAATGAGGGTTTGCAGGTACATGTACGAAGGAAAGAGAATAAAATTCTCCTTACGATACTGTTTGCCTCACTTCAATCAGACATTACGTTGACAAGTTATGGCTGTTTAAAGTTCACATTTATCGACATGTCAAAAAGGTAAAATACTGAGAAAAAATCCATTAAGTTTCGAGGTTTGTGTTCGTGAAAATGAAAGATGCCTATTGGTTTTCCTTAAAAACACTTTTATTCCACATATTTTATGTTATTTCTTTAACATATGTTTGGAAAACATACCAAAGATTACAAATATGAATAAATCTGAAAATGAAACAGAGAAAAAATCACCCCATGGAATTTTTTTTCCATTTTACTCCACTATGGCCTGTGCCCAGTTCCGTCTCATTTTGCCAGAACGCCTCACATTATATGATGTTGTAAATTCTGGATGCACTCCTTCGTGCCTTTTTCCCAGAAGAGTGACAATGTAATTTAAACCAAACTGCCCGCCCAACAAAGGAAAAGAGTTTGTTCATTTCTAAGGATACTTGAATGGCAAATTACAAAGTATCAAGGTAACAGGGACATGAAAAATGTCACACTGTGGACCCTAAATTTAAAGAGTGACCCACCTACATGTATATTTAAAACCTACATTACATTCACACTGATCATTGAAAAGTACATGATGGCAATGATCAAATCTGTTGTTGAGTAAATTCTTGGACAAATGTGCTCCTTATTGGATGTGTTTCAAGACTACCAAATGCTGTTAGGTAACAGGATTTTAGTGCCTCGTTTTGAGAAAATTTATCGTCAAATTTTTGGAGTTTTTACCAAAAAAAGTTCAAGAAACGTCACGCATTGAAAAATGCAATTTGTTAAAGGAAATGAGCCAGCACTTCGTAAAAGCTTTAAAAATGATTTGCAACAACCCCAGCCTCCATTCCAATTCAATGCGACCCAATTAACTTGGATGATACACTGGACACCAGAAGCTGGTCATAGCAGTGATTTAGTGTGTAACAGTACGGAATTGTTTCACAACATATCTACAGTATATGAAATATCAGATAACAGCAGTATTAAAATACTCCCTGTCCAAAGAAAACCTCACAAAGTATGATTGACACGCAGCAAAATGGCAAAACACTGACTGTATAAAAAGTCCCCATTTCCCCCGAGGATGGCATGAACATTTAACAAATCGAAGAAACGAAAGTAGGAAGTGATTCCATCACCTTTATATGTGATTGAAAATAAAAGTAGGAAAGAAATACCAACGTTCTTATGTTTTTTTCTTTTTGTGATACATGTACTGATAGTTGTGATGTATATAGTATCAAAGCTTCATCTTGCTTTCGGAGAATTTTGAAAACCATGGTCATACTCAGCGAAACATTTTACTTGTGATTCTTGTCCTCTAATCTGTGAATCTCTGCTTTGATTTTTAAGTCTTTTGTTCAGTGCTAAAACTTTTCTTTGCATATCCCTTTATACCACAATTGGCTATCAGCCCTGTAATGTGGGAGTTTCATACCAAAAGTTAACTTGCAACATTTTACATGCTCGTTTTGCCCGTCACCGACATATTTGTATGAACACTGTATACTCAGTGTTGTCCGAGTGTTTGTGAGAAACAATTCACAAACTACTGGGATGGGACTCGAACCCACTTTCTCCTCTTTACTAGTGCAGACGTCTAACCACTCGACCTACGTACGAGCTTGCCGGGGGCTCTGTGCGCCAACAAAAGAGGGCGCGTTTTTGCCACTTTTGAGAGCCCTTGGACAGGACACTGCGTGTGTGTATTGTACTGGTTCGAGCGAGAAGTATACACAACTTTTTTAACCTGAATGCGCACAAAGCTAAGCGTCAGGCATTGTAGGCACGCGAATACATTCGAATACGTTCAAATTTAACTTACGATGGTCTCCCAGACTAATACCCGCCCCCGATAACTTTGGATCATTCGAAATATGCAGTGGATGGACCGGGAACCAGTCTAGGTCTCCCCCAACTCTCCTTTTCTGGCCGTTGATGGGGTACCATAGCAGCAGATACCAGATTATTCATAGGATGACATTTGCTTTGGGGTGATGTAAATATGTCGGTGACTGACAAAAACCAATATTGAATTTTCTCTATTATTGGATACATTTGCTTTTTATTTCGTGAATGGAAACAAAGATTTCACATGATAAGTTGAATGATTTTCTTGTCTCGCTGAAGTGGAGTTTCTGAATTTTGAGTTGTTGTAGTTAGTGAATTTCGGGGTTGGTGAGGTATATTTTTTGTTTCGCTGAAATGATGATAAGGACCATGCTATTTTTTTTTAATTATAGGGTTTTTTTTAGATGGAAGAGCCATTGTTTTTGCCTATCTACAAGGTACCAGTACAATGCAACTTCCCTTCTTATTATCTGTCAGCGGATCACATTTCTAAACAAAGTGGTCTAAACTACCAGTAAAACAAAACCGACTTTGTGAAAGAGTTTTGTCAGCACAAGGCCGAATGAATCATTGTTTTAGTTTCATTTCATTTCTGTTCAATTTAAAGAAGCTTTAGCTATTAAATTTGCTCCATTCGTCACAGTGCTTGTGAAGTCAGAGATCTGCCCGTGCAATTTATACAATGTACATGAAGTTTCATCAATTTAAGTCTGTTTTTGCTAGTCCCAGAGGGCCAGCCTGGTTTCATCTTTGTACCTGACTGACTGACTGACTGACTGTCACTTGTGACTTAGACAGGCTGTAGACTGGTGAAGAGAGCCGGGCAGTGCTATTGTATAGGATACCCCGTAACACCAATGAATAGGCTTAAAGGTATAGTCCATCATTTGCAGCCATCCGAAAAGTAACTGGCGTAATTATTGTTGAAAAACAAACTTGGTTGAAAGATAGTAAGGGGACTAAACTCCCTGTGAAATTATTCTTTCTGGGAAGCTGTCATTTTGAAGTAATCAACGAAAGAAGGCATTTCCAACGGTGATTCTTAAGAAGCACCGTAGGAAAATTTAAATTAGTAGTTCGTTTTGTTATTCAGCGCAGCGCGCACAAGTATTGGAACGACGCACACGCGCGCGCGGTTGTTATAATTCGTCGGATCAGTGCGCGACGTCGCGTATAGCTGCAATTCAAAACAATTCAAAACATGATTCAGTAACTTTGGATTTGAAATTGAGATCTTAGAATGCTGTTTTTCTCGGAATGTACAGCTGAAGCTTAGCTGAAACTTCATCAGGTTAGTTGCTCAGTATCCTTCATTAGATTTTGAACTCTTTTGTTGCTTCAAACGAACAAAATACACAAATTACAAATGATGGACTGTAGCTTTAACCTGGCCCATTGTGTAGACCAGATGCATGAAAAGACTTCCAGTGAATAGCCATTCTGAATCAATTGAAAAGAATAGTCGCGTTCCCTGGGACCAACTTTACTAGGCTTGTCATGTTTTAATAATTACTGTAAGACACTTGTTTCACTAACGATGGGATCAGATTAAAATTCTGTAAAAATTGAAATTCTTGCTCTTTACAGAGATTTACCCGAGATTTACTCAATCATTAGGTATGAGATTTGTTCAGACTTTTGTCTGAAATCAGACCTTTTGAATCTGAGTGAAAGACATCAGAATAGAAAGAAATGCGTCTTTCAAGCCTTTCATCCAATTGTCAGACCATTTTCTTTTAGTTCATAGCCTCATTCCTATATTATGTTCGTGAGACCCAGCAATAAGCTAAAACAATGGCATGTTTTACCTTGTGCTAAGTCACACAAAAAAGGCCGCTTCATTTGTGACATATTTGCCTTCAGTGGTACAAGATCTGCCATCATCTGTCACAGAAGACTGTCAAAATGTGTCTTCGCTGTAAAAATTCAATAACAAATTTCCCTCTCAATTACATCACCACCCAGTAAAATATGGATCTCTCTTTTTTTCTTTTCCTTTTTTTTGGTGGTAACCGGAGAAGGGCATACTTTAAGTGTGTAGCGAAAACAAGTTCATGTCGCTGACAACATCCACTTACACAATATGAAAACAAACTTGGGCTTCCTGGTGATGGATGTCCAACGTGTACACGGTATACAGTCTTCTCGCTCTCGGGCACGATGATATATTGTTGAACTTGGTCACCCATTGCACGGTCAAGAATTTGAAAGATGCGTTGGATATTAAGTGGGAGGTTGTGAGCCTGAGTTGGCCTTACATGCACTAGACAAATGTGGCATAATTGAAATATGATGATCAGAAAAGGAAAAAAAAAATTGCGGTCTCTTGTATGCTGTTATCAAGGTACAAACTGGGAAAGTCTCTGGATTTTTAAATAATTTTTTGGGTGGAGTTTTCAAGTCTTTTTTGTTGATTATAGCATCATTAACCCCTAATAGTGGTGTGCATTTACAGCAGTGTTGTAGTCGAGACCGGTTAGTCCGAGTTTAGACCAAGACCGAGACCTGGAGTTCCGAGATCTAGAATGAGACCGAGTTCTTAAAGAAAGACCGAGACCGAGATGGTCCGAGACCAAGACCGAAACCGCGGATAGAACGGAGAATAATGTAAAAATAATAACAAATTAATAAATAAAAAGTTAATTGCGTGTAGACATTTAAAAAAAAATTAATTGACGTCAGAATATAGCAAGGATCAAATTACATAAAAAAACAATGGGCCTGTCCACTGCAGTGATAACTACATCGAAAACGAAAATCAAAATAATGTTGGTTATGATAACCAACGATACTGAACGAAAACAGCAAACGCAATGTAATCAATATATTATGAGCCATAAATACCGCATATTGCTGGTCTTGACTCGAGACCAGCAAAAATATTAAAACCACAGGGTACCAAGACCGAGACCACAGGGTAGCGAGAGCGAGAGCCAGACCAGCAAAAAGTGTGTCCATCCATATTCTTTCCCTTGAATTGATGCAATTTGGGTCACCATCATTCTATAAATTTAGGGTCCAAAATGTGGCATTTTTCTTGTCCCTGTTAGTTGGTACTTTTGTGCTGTATATTAGTAGCCATTCAAGTATCATTAACAAGAATGATACTGAAATCATTAAACTAAAAGGATTTTTTTTATTTGTTGGCTAGGTAGTTTGCTATTCATAATCACTCTTGGAGGACGACTGCATTCAGGAATGCATCAGAACTATAAAATCATATATGTCAGATGTAACAGGGACAGGAAAAAGGTGGCCTCCAAATTTATAGAATGACCGATTTCAGAATTACACAGATATTTTATGACTATGGCTTACGTTTTCACCATTCGAATACTGTTGTAAATAGCCGTAGACCTAACCCGAAGCCCCTGTGTCCATCCTCTTTCCCAGGTCTATGGAAATTCAGCAGTTGGCTAGTCCACACAGCCAAGTCTCCAGTGGTAACGGCAACTCCCCCCAGCATGACAACTCCACAGACAGCAACTGCTCTGTAACAACCAATGGAACAGACGGTAAGTGGCTTCCCTTTGTTACTCGGGGAGGAGATCATGAAACGTGGCTTTTCATTGGACAGAAATTATTATTGATAATGAGTTGTAGAGGTAACTTAACGATATGTAATTTTCCTTTGTTATTGCAGTCGTCTAACTAAAAAACATTGTGTGCCTGGCAGAATGGCGTATGAGTGTACGCCTTTATGCGCGAACGCGTAATCATCAAAATTTTAATGGAATTTAAACATTTTTGTCAGAAATTAACACAAGTTGCTCCAAAAATGATGATTTAGACGTGTGACAAATGTAAATTTTATACGATTTATGAAATGCGTGGGACAATATTAGATTCATAATACACGTGGGGAACACTGAAGCCTTTCAGTGCAATTTTCTTGTAAGTGATTTTCGCGTCAGAGCGCTCATATGCCCTTCTGCAGGGCACCCGACGATATTATGATTAATTTTTTATTTAAGTACAGACAATGAAAAATCTGCATTTTGCATACATATTTCCGACATATTGCATTGATATTGAATGTTTATTCATTGAAAGTGGCAGTTTTCTGATGAATTAATACATCAATATTGGGCCAAGTAAAACAAAAAAATGTTGATCGTCCTGCCCGCATCCTTTTTTGAAGCTGCATCCTTTTGTTTTTTCATTTTTTATTTCTTTTTCTCACCTCAAAAACCTAACTTTTTCTTGTATTTCGCTTTAATAAAATACATAGAACATGTTTAACATGAATATTTTGACTCTACTTACTATTAGAATAGCTAATTAAAAGCTTGCGGTCATTTTGAACCGAAGTTGGTGGCCATTTTTTATTTAAATACATGGCGGCCTTCTTAAGGCCCTTATCCTCCTCTTTTTGAACAAAACCCGGACAATCAACTGTTGTTGTTGTTTTTTTTGGTACTTGGCCTTACAACAGTTTCAAAAAAAAAATTGAGGCTACCTGCGTAAAAAAAAATCAAAAAAAATCATAAATTTATTTATTCATCGATATGTTTTCTCTTAATTAGGTAGATAATCCAAAGGTTTTTGAATACTGAAAGATAAAGAATACATCATTTTTGTAAATTTAAAATCTTCTTTCACAACTTTCACAAAGGCTGAGAATATATCAGCTAGTTTGCTATATTTATCAATTGCAACTCCTGTGATACACTTCCAATAACGTTGTTGCATGTGCGTCAGCCTGCTAAACATGGCTCCTTTTTACCACAGACCTACAATGTACAGTAGCTGTATGCTTTCACAAAGGACTTCTCGCGACGTTAATTTAAGCCTGGACGAAATACCACAAAATACCAGACCTCAAATCACTCCTCCGCATACACGAAGCAATCTTTTTCCCGCACTTAGCCCGGAAAAACCCTGCTCATTAGAAACTGCTCTTTTATGATTATGAAACTTTGCTGCCTTCGATCGCAAAATCTTGATCCTACCTCGGGCACAAAAAAAAAAGCACAGCCACTCATCAGGGGAAAAAAAACCCCAATTTCATAAGTGACTCCTTTTGCTGGCTTTTTTCCCCCTTCCCCCCCCCCCCCTTGTTTTTCTGCTTCGTTCCTGTTGTTAATCCCATTCATTGTAACTGTTAATATTATTAAGAGGGTGTCTTGCCTGATTTCCCTTGGGGTCCAGACCTTTTTTTTTCTGCCTTAGCTGGCCGTAGTATTTGCCTCGGCTTTTTTTTTTTTATTAATCAGAGCCCAAACGATTTAATTTTGCCAGGGATTTTTACGCCGGGAATTAATTAATTTGAATACAGTGCAATCCCATAATTCGCCTGTTTTACCTTGAAAGTGTGTAGGTAGAATCAAATTGATGCTGAACATAATTCATTTTTTTTTCTGGAGTGACTAGACACATGTACATAGCACATGTGCAGTTTGTATTTCAGCAAAGTATTTGCACCAGTAATTGTCATGACAGATTTGTTCTAATTCGGTGTCTCCCATTGTTTTTCCAATTATTATTATTTTTTAAATTTTTTTTCTTCTTTATTTAAGAAGTTGCTGAACTGTGCTACTTATTTATTTGCTTATTTATTTATTTATTTGTTTATTTATTTATTTATTACATTTCTTTACCCAGGGTATGCCCAAACAGTTTAAAACTGGTTTCCATTAAGGCCCTGCATACATTACACAGTTTAATTTGCAAAGTATTAAAAACAGAGTACGACAGAACTGACCTGATATATATGTGCGTAATTGTTTATGTACAGAATCATAACATTTTGAGGGTGTGTCATTTGATTGAAGTTGAATCGTGTCTTAGGAAAAAAATGTGGGATTTTTTTAATCTGTTTGTTCAATTTAAGTGATAGTTACTGAACAAAAGTGCTGTTACATAATTTCGCCTTTAGAAATTGTAAATGTGATCTGTTGTACATTTTTTTTGTCTTATTCCTCATTACCTAGGTAACCATGTATCTATGGCAACAACAGCAGAAACTAGTGTGTTGACGAGTACAGAGAGTTGGAATTCTGTTCACTCCGCAGCCTCAAGTAAGCTTCTCTCTTCCTGTAAATTCGTTCTTTCGCTGTCTTTCTTTCTTAAAATCTACTTAAGTAACTTGGTCCAGATCAGGGTGCGTTCCGCGTACACAAACAATGCTTGTTTGCCAGCATTGGTAACGTTAGTGCACGTTGGACCGACTGTTTGCCACCAACATTGGAGAGCGTTAGCGGTCTTCCCGAGTCGCTCACTATGTTTTCCAAAATGGCCGACACACATAAAAATGGCCGACACTCATAATTAACGTAATGATCATGTCAGGGCGGAAATGCTGGTGGGCTTTTTTACTTTGGCAGTAAGTTCATATAAATGTAACTCCAAATCTTACACTTTTAATTATTTTTTTCCCAAGGATTTTAAAAGCTGCTATCCAAACAGTGACACTTGTAAGATTAATATACTGGCATACAGGGCACCCCCATATTGAATTTTTGTTTTCGATGACGTTATCATTTGGTACGTTCAGAGGGCATAGCTGATGAACACAAATATGCTCTCATGCTGATTTGGACAAGTCTTAGGGTTTGTGAAACCATGTCTGTGTCCTCAGCTTTGGATACAGCTTTAGCTTCAGAATGAGTCTGTGCCTGTTCCTCAAAATGATTTGAGGTTTCACTAGAGGCCGGTTGATTTAAGTTCTGAGCACTGGTCCGGTATATCTTCAATTTAGCGATTTCTTTTACCTGAAATGAATACATGCATAATTTGATGTACCATACATACATGTGTATATATGCTTGCTTGTACATTCTCTACTTCTTAGCCTTTTTTCTTCTCATGGCGGCAGGCTTGGCTCCATGTTTACGTTGCGCTTTCTTGTCTCTTTTTTCCTTTCTTTCTTGTTTTTCGTTTTCTTGATCTCTTCTTGTTTCTGGTCTCTCTTCGTAGTCAAGTCCGAACCGCTCAGTAATAGTGACCCATCTACGCCAACCGTGATCCAAGATGGTGGCTATGGCGTAAACGCCCAGGCCGAAGGTTACGCAGGTGAGCGGGTCTGGCTGCCTAGATCTGCTATCATCACCTCCCACCCTTAAGTTATAGCGCCCTCTCTTGAGATAATCTGACAGGCAAATGCTGAATGTGCTAATTTACATTTATACTACTTAATTTTTTTTTTTTACTGTTGTCTGTTGATTTACTTTTGTAGAATGGAAAAGATAAAAAAAAAAAAATTCCAAACAGAATGCTGAGTTGTTTATAGTCCACCTCAAAATAACTTTTGACTGTTGCATTTCTCAATCTTTCAATAGAGGGCGCTTTATCCATATATGTGGATATTCATCCCTCATGTAGTAAACCCTACGTTTTAGGTGCCTATTGGGGGTCCTGTCCAATTATAGTGAAATGGGGAAAGGATGAAGTACATGTAACCTCTAGAAGGATAACAGTACAAACTTTTCGAGTTTTTGTTTCAAATCTGCTCACCCAAACCCCCCTCCCCACCACCACCCACCACAATCCATTGAACAATTCACCAATTTCCCTGTCCCGTAAGCAGTCATGTACACAATTCCACATATTTTCCCCCTTTTCCTCCCTTTATTAAATACCGTAACGAAGAAAAATCCCTCCGTGCGTAATTCCAGCAGTTTTCATATACTGGTTGTAGTTTCTCTTGCCTGCTTCCAGTGTGCAAATTTCCTTTCCCATATTGTGTGTGTGTTTATAGTTTTTACAATTGATTTGTGGCATTTTACATTAAATGCAGAAACTGCACAGATTAATTGAGCATGAAAGTTTGTTTCCAGTCCCATTATTGAATCAAGTAGATGGAAAGGTACCTTTCTGGGACTTGAATTACAGAGCTCGTATCAGGGGCTTGCGAGTTGCGACACCATCATGGTGTCTTTATCCACTGGCCTTGTTGAGGCCCTCGCCTGACCATGCTTGGTCACCCGAGGAGACGGTCGTACACCTGGGCCAGCTCGTATCCTCCATCTCTGTTCAGAGATGAACCATATGAACAGAGATTGAGGATACGTGTACGACCGCCTCCTGTTATCAGGCAAGCAACTTTTCCTCGGATCAGCTGATTTCCTCTTTTTTGACTTCCAAAGTGTGCCATTGAAAATAGAAAAACACTGTACAAAGTTATGGAAAGATTTGAATTTCCTCTTTTTGTAAGTTCCCAGTTGCATGCCTGTGTTATGTGACCAAGCATGGACATGTCATGGTCATGTGAGGGCCTCAACAACGCCAGTTGATAAAGACACCGTGATGGTGTCGCAACACAAGCTCCTGATAGAGCTCTGTAATTTAAGTCCCAAAAAGGTACCTTTCCATTTACTTGCATAGATTAAGTTTTTGCTTAATTATTTTGCAAGCTCCGTCAGTCATTTCCCTGCGAATGCATACATTTCTTAACTTGTTCTTGTGCAGACCTTGACACAGTTGTTTTGCACAACATTTTTCATGTGTTCATGTTTATTGTGTAGAATAATGTAGTGACATACATGTACATGTAGTCCTATGGTGAATGCGAACATAACCCGAATTCACAAAAGAATTATTTTTTTTTACTAGTCACGAGAGCACTAACGTATAATCTTACCCACTCAATTCTTCGCATGCTAATTACTAGCCATTGTTAGACAGAATTTTAAGAAGTTGTAATGTGAGCTGATGTATTTCTCTTCAGCTCTATCAAGCGTTAAATGAAGAAAAAAATATACAAAGATAGACCAGCAATTTCTTCAGTCACCATTAATTGCAACACTCATGAGCAGTAATCAGTCTTTTTGTTGTTATTCCTTTTTTTTTTGCATAGTGACAAATTCAGAAACTGCATTTGCCTGACCATCGCTTTTACTTTTCTCTTGCTTTTAGGGTCAAATTCAGGGGTTGGAGGTCAAAGTTCATTGGACATGAATCTTCGGCAGCCCAAGTCAGAATTTCCTTCACAGTATTACCCGAGGTAAGGCTAACTCATGTGTCATTCATTATGTTAAAAAGAAAACACAAAAAGCAGTAAAATGGCCTGAAACGTTTTTGGTTTTGAAGTCTTTTGCATTGAGTTTTATATGAGGCCCCAAAAAGGTAAGTGTTCTTTCAGCAAAACGAAAAACAAATCACATATGGATGTGTATGAATTGTTTTCGTTTTGCTGAAAGAACGCACACCTTTTTTGTGATCCCCGTGGACAGAACTTTAAAACGGTGGTTGTGTTTAAAATTCGGTAACCCGAAAAGTACTCGAGTGATCTGAATGATTCTTGTACTAAAAAAAAGCTTATGAATTGGGCTTTCATATCATACATTTTGAAAGTGCTACATGCAAAACTTCACTAAAACAATAGTCCCGAAATTTGGGTTTCGTTGTTTTTTACTCACCCTGTATGAGAAAATCACCACTCCTTTGGTGGTGTTTTGCAAGTGGAGCGCAATGTACTCACACCATGAGTGAGATTTCATGTGATCGTCTTTGTATGGGTGCCAAAGTCATGTCCTGATATCCATAGGCCACAGACTATAAAACTTCATTAATAGCTTTGAACCCAATGTTTGAAGTTTCTCCTCCCGACAAGTGCTAGGCTCAGGCATCTGTCATCGGTTCGCGGCTGATGCCTTTCCCAAATGGGGCCCACCCCTCCGTCATAGTTGCCCCCAGTCCAGACTGACCCAATTCTAGTTGCCTCTGAAAATCTTAAACCGAGACATACATATAAGTTGCAGGGCTGCATGATGAGAGGTGCGCATGTTGCCCTATGGCGGCGTGCATGCAGTGCATTTGTTGACACAAGGTCGCCGTTCTCTGAAGTTGTAAACAAGACTGTTCATTAATTCATTTATACCAATATTCAGGCATGCAACTTTTCCTCGGATCCACTGAAATCCTTGTATTTTACTTCTCACAAATGCCATTACAAATTAAAAAATACTGTACAAAGTCTTGTGTGGTTTGGAGTTTCCTTTTTCTTTCTTTCTAAATTCCCAGTTGCATGCCTGAATATTAAGGGGGATTCATACTTCATGGCTCATGCGAATGCCAAGTGAATTTGACTTCATGAAACATTCGCTGCGAAATTCCCCGGAGTTGAAATGTGCTCAACTTTTGTGAATTTGCAGTGCAAAAACTTGACGTGACATAAGAAACTTGCATTCTCTTTAGCGTTGAGTATGATCCCACCATTATGCATGATGCTTAAGTGAATAGCCTGAAATTTCCATGGTGGGGGCAGGGGAATACCTAAACTTTCTGGTCAGGAAGGTTGTTAATTTTGGATAACAATATTCAGGGTTAGCAATGAATTTGTTTCTTGTGCACGTATTATGTTTATCCATTAACTCAGAATTGTGTGTCTTTAGAATTTGAACAGAATACCTCTGCTAGTGCATGTGCAGTAAGCACAGGACGATGATTAACCCTCAAGTGCAAAAATACATTCTGTGAAAAGTTGTCCTTTCAGTTAAAACCGATCAAGTGACTGCTTTTAACAGTTAAAAGCTCCCAGCTAACATAAAGCAGGATTGACTGACGTTGACTGTTTTTGGTTACTTGATACAGCTACGATTTGATTGTAGGTGATTGATAAGCTAGCTTTGCCTACCACTTGCCTGCTTCAGTTGACTGAATTTGACTAGTCACGGTGCTTGCTTGTAATATGATCTGACTGTTGGTGACTAGCCTGTGTATAAAAAAAGGACTGTCATGCTTCGGGAAGAGGAATGATTTTTCGACTGTCTGGGGCTGTTCAGACAGTAGGAGGGTTAATAAACAGAGTTCCATTCTTAGAAAAGCTGGAAAATTGGACCAAGAATTATTAAAAACACTTGTTGCTCCATCGTTGGATGAGCTAAAATTTACGATAAGTCACTTTTGCCCTTTCCATTTCTCCCTCGTCATTCCCTCCCTCATCCTTCTCAGTCACATTCTGCAAGAACCTCCTAAATCCAGCCCCCAATAACGTACAAATAAACAGAACAATTCAATGAACGCAGTCTTCAGTCATTGTTGGCAACTTATGTGAGCTCTGAACCCGAAGATGTGCGGATTTTATGGGGGGTGGGTGTGTGTACATGATGTACATCCACGGTCTGTGTGTTTTCCTGTGCCATACTCATCAACATCATAAAATTTGATAAGTCATCATAAAACATAACTGCTTGTGGCATCTATGGTCTTGACAAAGATGGAGCACTGCCCTGATGCGAAGGCGAGTTTCAGTACTTTTTGTCCGATTGTCCTCTGCTCAATTCGTATTCATATCCATGTTTGGATGACTCGATAAAAATTTAATTAGTGACTCCAAGCCGTAAAAGCTATTAAAGTGAAGAAAAAAAACCAGAAAAAAAACCGTAGTCTTCCACAGGTGGTTTGGACTGAATTTGATACAGTGATCACTGAACCAGTTAGGCGTGACTTTGTGATATCATTCCAAACAAACTTTTGCCGACTTTTCTGTTTTTCTACTGTCCAGTTCTGTCAGTCGGCGTGTAACAGATCCCATCGCAGTGTTTCGATTGGCTAGTCATTGTGCTTAAATAACGGTAACTCTACCACCGATGAGATAGGAACGTGTCGCCTGATTGGTCGCTCGTCGGCCGGCTTTTGAATGTTAATTGGAAAACGGAGGGCTCATATTTGCCAGTAGGGTTTCACATCACAAGGTTGCATCTGCTTGCATAAAAATCCACAAGTAGTGTTGTCAGTGTACAGACGTTCTGATATAATTAAGTATCTTTTTAGCGAGATAACACGGTCTGAAATTCTGGCACAAACATGTACGACGGCACTGGTATTGAATGGGCTGAGGGGTAAGTTACATTACACATCCACCGACTTTTCTGTGATACTCTTTTATTTCGCCGCGTTTGAATTTCTCATTCCTGATAAAAACAATACAGTTGTTGACAATTAGACACCTTATCGGCGGTGGTTTCTGGATTTTGGTTTCAAAATTATCCAAATGATTGTTGTTCACCTTGTAAAATACTGTATCTTCTTTTCCGCCCGCCGTGTGATGTTACAGTTTATGAAATCAATCCATGTTCCCCTAATTTATTTGATATTTTCTTCTCAACAAATGCATGTTAAACAAATACTAATAAGCTCAAGTATATAGAAGTGTTAAAGACCTTTTTGGAAGGTTGCAATATTCTTCGACAATTTGGGAGTGGTACTGACCCAACCAAGGTTTTTTTTTGACAATTTGACAACCATACTTCAGGCATGAGAATCTTCCTGTTTAAACAGGAATTCTTGGGGGTTTTTGTTGCCCAAATCTCTGCGTTTTTGGTTATTTTTAGCCTGTTTTTGTACTTTTTTGCCTGAATTAACATTTTTTTTCCTGTTTTTGCACAAGTTTCCTTTTTTTTTCCATTGAAATTCATTCTTATGCCTGATATTTCTGAACAACACTGTCATTCATCCTGTAATGTCTGGAACCCAACAATACCCATGCTAATTTCAGTGCTTTTGAAGATCAGAAGACCAGGTAACAAGGCTTACTTTTGTTGATAACTTCCGCAAACACCGCTAGTATATCACTAGAATCCTTTTTAAGGATTTTCCACGAAGGCTATTATTATGGCGCAACTGTATACATGCTACCAACAATTTTCATGAGTTGTTTCTTCAATGGAACACAAAACCGAAAATAAGATTTGAACATGGGTTCCAAAGTTAATGCAAACTCCAGAAATTAAAACACCATTGATATTTAACAACGACATTCTCCTTTCCATATAACAAAGGCTTCTAAAGTTCATTTTCCTAGCTGACAACAACACTTGACTTCAAGATTTCCCAGGAATAACGTTTTGAGTAAAACATGCCACGTTTCCAACTCGTATAAATTTGTGTATTGTTTTATTTAATTATTGAATTAAAAGCCACCTGTTCATATTACTGTCATTACCAGTTTTGTATTCTGTCTCATCAGAAAGTGTTTGTGTCAGTTTTCTAATTGCTAGCGATGTGCACACATACATGTATATATCGCATGAAGAATTGATACGCTGATATATGTATACATTGGCTGTTTTACGGATATGTACTGTATACATATTATATATACGCTACTCATTGTCACTTGAGCTTTGCTGACTATCATGGATTGTTGTGCCCCTTACATTGTCGTCCTTGCAGAGAGAAGTTTTCTGGACTGCCTTCTGCCAAGGTACATACATGAACGTGTTCTTTCGAGGTAGAACTATTTGCATAGTTTACTGCAGTTAACAGTTAAGGAACCTAGTGCGTCAACCAACAATGTTGAGACTGGCAAGTTCTGCAGAGAAGTGCCAATATAGATCTTCATCATATAAGGAACCAGACTATTTTTCCTTCTAGCCTCGCTTTGGTTACAATGATTTGAATGGGGAAAAAAATCAATGGCTACAACATGATAATGGTCTATTAGTGTGAAATCGCATTTGGGGTTTAAGGCATCCCTGTTGGAAAACTTTGTATTGTATATTGTAAAAAAAAAATCTTGTCGAAGTTGTTTAAGTTTTTTAATTTCTCTTGATGCATAAGATCTATGTCAGATTTTTCACAACACGGGACAACTGAAATACTATCTTATGAGATGTTAGCCTGATTTGCACTATTGCCCAATCCAGGCATACTTTCATTTCTATCACGATGGCCCCCTTCCATGGCGAAAGCAGTGTGCTAGCTATTGTTAAGATAATCCATCGCAGGGCAGTTGCGTACAATAGCGTGCATAGTGGTTTCTCCATTGAAGAGGGCCTTGTGAGTGTACAGTGCACGTACCAGGATTTGTCTATAGTCTAGTCAGCTATGTAGGGAGAACCTGCTGAGGTGTTTCATATTGCCGGTGTCCAGTGGCCAATGTGCAGGATTTCTATAGCGCCATTCCCTGTGGATCATGGCGCTCAACAGCAACAACCACCAATGATAAAGGGAAGATACCAAAGAATAATGTAGTGAATAGGTGTGTTTTGAGCTGCTTTTTGAATGACGAAACAATGTCCAGTGATCAGATATGGGAGGGAATAGTGTTCCACAGTTTAGGACCGGAAATTGTGAAGGCTTTTGTCGGTGAAGCCGTGTTTTAAGATGTAGGTGCTGATAGCAATGTGGTATTGCAGCGGGAACGAAGGCTAGGTCGACCAGTACAGAGGGCTCGACACAGTTTTTCAACGTATGCAAGAGCTGTGTAGTGGAGACATTTGAAGATAAGACCTATTTTGAATCAAATTCTTTGTCGCACTAGAAGCCAGTGAAGTTGGGAAAGCAGTGGAGAAACCGGTTCACCGGTTTTGAAGTTGTTGAAGTTTCAATTTATTAATGTAAAGACGCATCGTACTATATGTTACAATGGTGCGTGACAGTTGACCAATAGAGAAATCAATCAAGCCACGCTTCATTATGCCTTGACCGATCACAGCCGTTATCAACGTCCGACATTCATCCAGAAAATTCTGACACGCGTGCTTGTACATCGTCGTGCATGGCAGGAACGTGCAGTGTGGCATCGGAGAGGCACACATGTTGTTCACCACAGTTCGTAGTGGGCGGTTCTTAAATGGATCGAGGTATTAGGCTCCGCACATTATTTCCAGGCTATGTGATGCGCTCATGTGATGAGACACGGAGGTCTGCCCTGCGCAGTTATAGACAGTCTGCCTATGGGTACGAGTCCAGGCAGAGGTCGCCCTCAGCTGCGCTGGGTGGACAAAGTATGTGTTTAGTTGGGTATCTTGTCTTGAAACTTGGTATAGTGGGGGTATCTTGTCTTGAAACTTGGATTGTGGGGGTATCTTGTCTTGAAACTTGGTATGTGTTTAGTTGGGTATCTTGCCTTGAAACTTGGTGTGTGTATAGTGGGGTATCTTTTCTTGAAACGTGACGAAGTGAAGTGGCAGAAGTGTGGAAGAGCTGAGAATAGCAACGATTGAAAGAGAACAGGTGATGGCGACCCCAGGAATACGCCCCATTACAATCTGAGGACAAGGCGGCCACGGACGCAAGTCTACGCCTAATTATGATTATTTTCTCATGTTTATAGTCCCACAGTATTCATTAATTTGGTTATTTATTTGTTATTTCTCCTTGCAGCCAAGCCTACCCTCACATTTTACCCACGCCGTCGGCCCAGGGAAGCAACTTCCAAGCTTCTCAGCAGGCGTCATTTGGTGTACAGAATTCTAGTTACCCGTATGCAGGCCAGTCGAGCCAAACACCCTATGGTTTAGCCCAGGCAATGTCTTACGGTAAGTGTGAAATTTCGATAATTATTCCATTGTATTTTGATTTATTGATCGTTTAAAAAAAACTATCAATTGAGTATGGACTCTGCGCACAGCAGATGGCGGTTTCGCGTTTGCATACCTTGTATTTTAATTAGCTCAGTGAATTTATAATCAAACTTTGCCTTAAGGTCAGTCTTGTTTAATATTTCAATTTTTGCCCAAAATCTCTTTGTTGACCAAAAAAAAATACAATTGACCATATTCCATCTGAATGGCACACTGTTCAAATTAAAGGTCTTGTTGTTACCTTTAATCTGACACCACATTTGAGGTTGTGATGCTTGTAAATCTGAAGATTGAATAGATTTTCCACTTTTCAACTGTGTCCACTTTCCCGTGGAATCACCCATAACTGTTTTAAGCAGCTTTCAATAACTTTTAATCAGATATGAAAATAATTACATGTAGGTGGGACCCACTCCCCCACCCTAAATTTCATGTAACCGAGACCTTACTTTTCCAGTCACAGTTACACAAAAATCCAATGTTGGACAGTAAGGGTAAAACAAAATGAGATTATTGTTGACCATTTGCCCCATTTCATATTGCCAATTGACCTTTGAAAATAGAGGTCAGAAACAGAGGTTAAGGGTCGGATACTTTCCAAATCTGGGTCACTAGTATCTCACAGAGCTCACATAAAAATGAAAATGCCTGTAAAAATTTGTTCAAAAGCCTTAGAGAGTTGGGTTTTTGACTGGCCACTGTTAGTAGGAGTGACGTATGCCAGCTTGATGCTTCATCTAGTTGGACCAAGAATTGCTTCACTGTTATCTTATTGTTGAATCATAGTTTTTAATCTCGAGTCTTATCGGGCAAGGGTAACTTAAATTGCACTCTGAAACAGTTTATAAGACGAGCACAAATCTAATTTAAAAAAGGAGACCTATTTTTCCACTTCCCCGAAAAAACTCTTCAATAAAAATCTTGTTTCACCATGTTATGGAGAGGAAACTGATCCTAGTCTCCATGCTGGCCATCTGGCAAGCTGGCTGTTACAATGCCACAGGGCACGAAAGAGCAATAAAATGGCTCCCTTGCTTGACCTTTCTTTTCCTCCCCCTGTCTTACTTGATAGTGATGAGATCAATTGGTCCCCGAAGCCAGGGTACCTGGGAATGGATCTTTGGAATCTCTTGAAATTGGTCTGACACTTCCAGAAATTGCTCGAGTGTGTTGCCTTTACGTGTTCAATAATTAAAAGTTTTACCATCATTCCCGTAAACAGCAGATTTCTCTTCCAGTTTTGTTCTTATAGTAAATTCTGAAAAAGTTTAAACTAAATCTAATTTAACTATTAAATTATTTTTTCCGTAATGTCCTCTGTGTGTTTATAATTTGTTGTAATTGGAAGTGGCACATTTGTCAAAGAATTAATCTTGTACAACCACCCATGCCCCCCCCCCATAAAAAAAAAATCAGAACATCTGTGGAAAGATGGGCAAATACATATATGAGAGTCATTATATAAATTATGGTTCCACACTTTGCCTGTCCCAGTTACTGACATCTCACATCTATGTCTTTGTAATTCTATGCACTCAATATTCTTCCTCCTACCTAGAGTGATTATGTGAAGCATGTGACCTACCCAACAAATAAAACATTAGTTTGTAGTCATTTTTAGTGGCGCTTGAATGGCAAATTAAAAAGCTCAAGAGATGACAGGGACAGAAAAAATGTCACACTTTAGTCCCTGAAGTTATAGAATGAGCTATAATCAATTGACTAACAAACCACGCAATTACCATACATTTAATTTTGGAAATGCTCATTCAGGCCAGAAAACTCAAAGAATTTGAAAGATTTTAAAGTCTGGGCCACATGAAAGACTGCAAGTTTCAGGGTGTTTTTTCTGTTGTATGATTGCGAAAAGAAGCTTGGAGGTACTGAACGATTATTCCTGTAATTGGCGCGCACAGGAAGCTGCTCGGTTCGTGTTCCTTTTTTTTTTATCATCAACGCCAATTCGCAGACTAATCGCTGGTAGTTCATCACTCACCGATTCGCTCACACTCTGCCCAGGAAATTAATGAGCTTGCGGCCGGCATTTGTCAGTTTTTAATAACAGGAAAGCTTGGGCAGTCCAGAGCAGATTTTTTTTACCGCAAAACACCTGTTGATAAATAAGAAATATGACAGATCTTCTTGAGAGGAATGATTCCAAATGTAAGAGAGGGAAAAAAAATGATGGAATGTAGCTGCTTCAGTTCCGGTGGCTAGCTTAAATTGGGAAGTTAGTTAGAGTTTTGAATTGAACACTGCAGAGATGAAATATCTTGAAGTTGTTTGTCTGCCGTAACATTTTCTGGTCCCAGGCCAAGCTCAATTGCTTCTTTGTACCTATTGACTGACTGACTGACTGACTGACTGCATGGTCATCAATCGGTGCCCCCCCCCAACCCACCTTGAAAAGTGTGGGGGGGGAGGGGGAATATCATATCATTTGTCTCCCCCCCCCCACTTTTTGCATCCCCGAATAGAAATTGTGGCCTACATTGGATTCTATTGCTCAGAGTAGCTGATTCAATGACTCCAAACTCGAAAATGATGTTTAAATGATGATGTTTTGCTAAAAACGCCGTTAGGGCTTCGCGCTCGCATTAGTTCTGATTGGTAAGGTATGTTATGTCTCCCCTACCCCAATTTGTAGAAATCGATTGACGCCCTTGCCTGGCTGTCACTCACTGGCTCACGTTCACTTGTGACATAGATTGGTTGTAGACTGGTCACAAGAACCGGGCAGTGCTATTGTATAGGATTAACCCATAAATCCAGCTCGCCATTCTTGATTCAGTTGAGTAGAATTTGTTGTGCTCTGGGATCAACTTTACTACGCTCGCTTCGTCATGTGATCCTGTCCTTCAGTTGTGGTTGTGTATTGTAGTTTTAAACAGAAAGTTGTAATGCACCAGGGTTTGGGTTGCATTGTCGTCAAATGTTGCAGTGATCTTGAACATTCTTCATTGACAGAAAATAAAATAATGGCTTCGTTTTTAAAATAAACTTTTAAGTAAAGGGTTTCTTGTGCTCACTAAAATTCATTTTAAGCCCCCCCCCCCCCTATATTCTACACAGTTCAACAAGTGTAGGTCAATTAATAGCCCAAAGACGTAACAGGTGGTTTTTGCCTGTTAAAAAAAAAAAAATGGACCACGCCTGATTGGCCACCCGTATCACATGACAGGTGCCAGTTGGCTTTAGTGTTGGCTTGTGAAATCGATACGATATACCACGTTTCAAGCTTCATTGCTCCGATGCCAAGCTCAATATGCTGTTATTAAAACTGAAGGTATTTTTATTACTTGTCGTATTGCTCATCCTCACTTCGATGAAGGGGGGGGGGGGGGTTGATCGTAGTTTTTTTTTAAGTTGAGGATGGGATAGTAATTATATATTGACCAGGTGGAAGACACTTTCTTTGTCTTAACACGGCCGCCGCTTATCAGCTGTTTATAGGACCATCAATGATCATTCTCTTTTAAAAGACCATAAAGTTATATTGATTGTCTGTTTGCGATTGCATAATTCTGAAAGTATTGCTACACACAGATGGCCTCATCTTCCTTTGTGGCTGTCTTAATTGAGCTGGTGTCTTCTGGGGAATGAAGACCTTGAAAAAGACAACAAAGGAGATTGTCTGTACACTGATGAAGCTGTCAATGACAATAAATACTGCGTGACATATGGCCCTGTCAAAAGCAGGCACTTAAAACAAAGCATTGTCACACTTTTGTAGTCAGGCATGCAACTTTTGCTCCCAGCAGTTAATTTCCTCATTTTTTACTTCACACTTATGCCAATTGCCATTAAAAATTGAAAAACACTGTTTAAAGTCTTGTAAAACTTGGAATTTCCAGTTCAGTCCTCAATCCTTAAAGAGGGTCCTCAAAACCTAGTGCATTTTGAAGGCTAGAAAAGGTAGTGTTACTTCGGTATAAAGAGTTAATTCTATAATTTTGGGGTTAACGTTTTTAGCTGTGGATAGCAGCTCTACAAGTACTCATGTCTCTCCGTTAGTCCATAGGTTAGTTAGTTAGTAACAAACATTCACATTGTCAATTGCTCCTACATATTTTGACCGATTTCAACCGAACTTTGTCAAAAGTATCCGTAGCCCAGCTCCAACATTTCCCATGACCAAACTGGGGTCAAAGGCCATCATGGGTCAAGGTCAAAATAATGTCAAGTTTCAAATAAGCTCAAATAAGCTCAAATGACAAAAGTAGCACTGTCAACATGTTGGCCATGGTCAAACATTAAAAATTGTTTGTGATGACCTCTTCGTCTGACCTACAGCTGTGGGGTCAGAGGTCAAAATAAGGTGAACAAGTATTTGTTGGCCCGCAGCTTCCGAGATCCGATCGATCTTGTTTCCTGCCCCTGTCACATCTGACATCTATGATTTTGTAATTATGGATGCCCTCCTTGATGTACTTTTCTTCCAAGAGTGATTACATGAAGCAAAGAACCTACCCAACAAATAAAAATCAGTTTTGAAGTCATTTTAATTACACTTCATTGACAAATTTCCGAGTTCAGAGATAACAGGTGCAGGAAAAATGTCACACTTTGGATCCTAAACTTATAGAATGACCCAGATGCCAACGATGTTAAAATAATGAACCCTTTTCCAAAGCCCGAAATCATATTTATTGTCTCTAGGTTCAAATGAACATGTACGTGCGTGACACAAAACATTTATGGCGAAATTTGCTATGGCTTAAATGTTATCATCAGTAACAGATTTGCAGCTCGAATACTTGTCATGACATCACCAAGTGGGCTTCAAATTAACCTTCCCACCAACTTGTCGGGTGTGTCAATATGTCTTCTCTTTGTTTAATTACAGGTACAAAATCATTAAAAGCGGACCCGACACAAATGCAGGGTCAGGGGTCGTATCTAAGCGCGTATGGGTCAGCAGGGTTCACAGGGTCATCTAGTCAGGCTGCTCAAAGCCCGTACTATCAAATGCAAGGTGAGTGCCTTTTTTTTTCCTTCAATTTTTATTAAACTATTAACCACTTCACGCTGGGAATATTTTTGCCGAAAATTTATATTTTCACAAAAGGCACCATTTTCCAGCCAACGTCTGATATACAGCCAAAATGCCACAAATACTGATTCGCAAGAGTCATTTCAACAGTATTTGTTCGATATTTCTTGCTTATGTTTCAATACTCCGGCGTGTGCACTGGAGCGTAAATTGTACAACGGCCAATTCAAGATCAACACACGGTCTGACTCCACAGACTTCACCGACTTTGTATGTGTTTACAAAATACATGAGGGATTAGCCGAGGCGAATCAAGGCAATCTTGACGTCTTAACCCGTCAGCTGTGCCTGTTTATAAAAGCAGCCAGTGCGTATGTGTTATCACGTCCTCCAACAAGAACTGTTTAACAGATAATTTTGCTTATTCCACTATATTGTTTGAGTAAAATTTCTTTTTGTTTTTTCTTTTGGAAATGTTCTTCTCAAAGCAGACTAAATTTTAGGATTTGTCACATCAACTAAACAACTTTTGTTTTTGTGATAGTTCTTTTTTGTCGTATTATCTTTTGTCATTTTTCTCAGTTGGTTCCTGCAAAGAAAAGAATAAGTTGAACATGTTAGAGTCAGTTAGATGTGACCATAAAAACAGCAGCCGCAGAACAACAAATTTTGACACTCAAAGAGTTTACGTCAACTTTCAAGAAATACTTTAAATTTTTTATTATTTTATTTTTTTTGCAGGCGGTAGTTTTACAGGGAGTAGTAGCTATCCCTATCCCACATGTAGTAGTAACACGTCCACAACCAACTCCCAGGGTTTTAATAGTACACAACAGGTAAGCAAATCATTTTTGTGAATTTTTTCTCGATATTTAAAGCTGGATTTTGTGATTTTTCTTCAATATCTAGGGCTAGATGTAATCCAGATTAATACGCAAGATTGATGAAAATTTAGATGAGTTATTATATTTCAGGTGCATTCTCCCTGCTATTTTTGCATTTCATCCCGAAAAAATAGATTCCTTTTCTAAATGGCTATATCTCTAGCAATACAAAAGATATTAACTTTTGAATGAGACATCGACCGAAACAAATTGACCGATGTATAGTTTTAAGTTATTACTTTACAAATTTAACTTATTAGCTGCCAAACAATAAGTTTCGTTCTCGCTGGATAGGCTAGTTCCCGCCCCACAATTAGTATCGATAATGTATGGACGGGGAGCCAGTCTGCAAAGCAAAGTGCAAAGTGGTTACTTTTTTTAAGTCAGCAGTATTAAAAAATAAAAAGCTACTTGTGAGTGCCTACTTCTACTCGCGCCAGGACTATTACTTGAGTAGATGAAAAACCATGAGTTAGAATGAGTAGTAAACACTACTCATGAGTACTCGAGCACTAGAATGCACCATGAGCATCTTGCCCGGCGCCATAAGTTCTATTATTATTAAAATTCTCAAACCTGTACGTTTTTAAAAGAGTTTTTATGTTTTTTGCTTTTGGTTTGAAAAGAAAAAAGTGAGTGAAGAGAAAACGCTGTAATTTTAATCACTCTAACTGTAATTTTAAAACTTTTTTTAAAATTAAACCAGGGAGAATATGGTTCCTATGGGACGTATGGTCAGAGCAGTTTCAACCAGTACTACACACCTCCGGGCTACAGCAGTCCGTATATGTCAAATAGCACGCTGGGTCCAACGTCCTCATCTGTTCCCACGACGACAACGACATATCAGCTAGCGCCGTTACCGTCTGAAAGTGAGTATGCCCGAATGCAATTGTCTTCTTTGATTAAAGGAACGTGGGAACATTTGTTAATTACCCAGAAACGTAGAAAATCCTTGCTTTGCGTGAAGATAGGACTGGTACCAAAATATCCTGCGAAATTATGCCGCCTGAAATGGTATTATTCGGGAAAAACAACCATTGGAGGTGGTTTATTAAAAGAATGTGCCAGCAGGCACATTTTTTTACATTTGTAAGCAACAGAATCCTGTTTCGAGACCCCAAATATTGTGTATACATTTTCTAAAGTTTTCTCAAAATGTAGGTATCCACTGAGCTGAAACTTCAACAAGTTAGTTGTTGTGCAACTTTCTGCTAATGATTTTATGTACCTTTGTTCTGTACAAGAATATCCCTGTAGAAAGGCTGTACATAGACTTCACGAAATAGGGAGTTTTCGTAAAATTTTCTTAATTTTTAAACATTTTTCATCAGAAGATATTTGACAGAAACAATCTTAATTCATGCTTTAAAAATGAGGAAACTTTGTGCTTCCATTGAACTTGCAGGAAAAATCAGCAGGTTTGTTAGATAGAACGTAACCCACGACCTCCTGCTTTCTAGTACAGACATGTCTTTTTAACTCAATCATCGAGGTTGCCATGGTTGGTGCAAAACAAAACCTCAATAATATTTTTTTTTTCAACTTCCATAACCGAGGAAAATTAATATCTTCTATCCATCACAAATCTACTGTGTTATACAATGCCTGAATAAATCCCCGTCATCTGACTGGTGGGTAGTTGATCATATGTCATTGAATTATTCGTCCCAACCCACGGCCCAGCCGTACCGCCAAAATATAAGTTCTATTCCATGTTATGTAGAAGCTCCATTGCACGGTCACACTATTGTTTAGTGGCTTTGGCTAATCAGATGACAAGGATTTATTCAGGTGTTGTATAAAACAAATGATAAATGTTTCACATTCCTGCAATGGAAAGAATAATTTCATTCAGTGACAGATGGAATGGAATGGAACACTTCATCTGTCACCTCATGAAATTATTCTTACCGTTGCACTCATAAACATGTATTATTTGAATAATGCATTTTTGACAACTTCCAACTGACCATTATCATGTTGCGGCCATTTTGATGTTTTCCCATTCAAATCAACGTAACCAAAGCGAGGCTGGAAGGAAAAATAGTCTGGTTCCTTTTTGCACAAAACACATTATCACTCACAACTGTTATAGAAAATCTGGTGGCTGGCACATGACGGTGAATTGACCAATAGGAATTGGGCTCTCGCTAATGAATATGTATGAGGTGTAGTAATAGAATTAACATCTCCCGAAAAAAAATCTCCATCAAAAATTATTTAACTGGGTTTAATACACAAATTTTTTGAAAAGTTGTCATGGCACGATTAAAAAAAATGCAGTTTAACAAGATTAATGTTTCTTTTTATTTAAAAAAGCTTTTAGTTACTAATAAATTGCAGTGCTTTTTTTTTTCTTTTCAACTCGTGTTCTGACCTTTGTGCATTTTAGTTAGAATTCTCTTGCTTTTTTTCTCCCCATTTTGCCCGTTGGTTTTTTTTTCTTCAAATTTGTGGAATTTATGAATTTTTCATGCAACAAAATTGCCCAATATTTGATGAAATTGTTGAAACGAAATAAAATAAATTGGAAAATACTTGGATAGGTAAACTGTAAAGTGAACAAAGGTGGTGATTTGGAATTTGTAATCATGAGGTTTTGTTGGGAGAGGGGGAAACAAAAAATATGTGTATGTTCCAAAAACTAATGTCCGAATTGGACGGCATTTTACAGAATTTGTGGAATCACCTCTTCTGGAAGCCCCAGTGGCGTCGCAAGACGCATCCGGTAGTGCAAACGAAGGTAATTATGGCCGGCCAATCAAAACCTTTCATATTTTTTTTTTCATTTGTTGTCGTGAAATAATCCACTTATCATCTATTCCGTTGTTTTTGATGTTAGATGTCTCGGAAACGGACACATTTTTTTTTATGTTTCATTGTTTTCATGCTGAACGTCGTCAAGTAAGCTTGGATGTGAATTGGGCAATGCATGAAACGTTCATAAATTTTCACCATTTTTATTGTTTTTTGGAATGTTCGTGTTTTTTGTCTTTTATGTTTTTACACGTGCAACTTTTTTTTTCATGGATAAAACCAAAGCTGAAGAATTTGTATGCCATAGTCATGTTGCTTTACATCTACATGTGTATTTTTCAGTTGTGTACCATTCACAGATTTATTAAAATATAAATTCTAATTTCTGAACGGTGTTAAAATTTCCTTTTTATTTGTGAGCATGCAAATGTGAAAGCACACTTCTGAGTTGATCACCAGAAAATTAGTAATGAGCAAATTGAAGTAAATATTTGAAATTGGACATACATTTTAATCCATAACTTCTGCAGACATAAAAGATGGAGAAATCTCATTGTATTCATTTTTCAATAAATGATCGAAAACGATTTTGTGAAAAAAGATTCAAAACTTGGATGTTGGAAAATTGAAATGATTATTTCGTATTAAATGACTCGTCCAATTTTACCAATGGTAAGTCATTTAAAGGAAAAAAATAGAACACTCTGTGATTAATCTTCACAATATGCCAAGAAATTTGCATTCGTGCACATGTCCTAAAAACCTCATTTCATCATTTTTTGCCCCTCCTATCTCTACCACCCCGGTTCGTTGTCCTCGGCAATTTTTCAGACAAAAGGAAACGATAAAAAGGTCAGAGCCAAAGGAGCCAACCTGCTTTTCTCTCCCCCCCCCCCCAATCTCCCCCAACCTCTTTTTATATTTTCCTCTCGTTTTCTCTCAGTCGTTCAGTCTCTCCCTCTTCTATACTCCTCTTTTTTTTCTCGTTTCTTTTCTCGCAGCAATGGCTGCGGTTTCACGTTACAGCCGCGACTCGTTTAACGTCCCGGTAAAAATGCGGGTGAGCGCGTGTCGCCGTAGGGCAAACGTCTTCTCTGTTGTCTCCCTCTCTCTCTCTCTCTCCACCGCTCGCTCGTTCGCTCTCTCCCCCTTGATGAGAAAAGACACTATTCCTCACCTCTGGATCCGCAGCCTAATTGAAAAGAGCCAGATTGTGCGGCCAGCACTTCTTTTTTTTTTTCATCCTGTCATAAATTGTGCCGAAATATCAAAATATTACTCCCCTGAAAAATGACCGGATATTTCTGCAAACAGTAGCACGTTTCTGGAAATTCATTAAAGTCTTATCCTTCTCTGTATTTCACCTGAAAGAGGTTTTTGGGCGGAGATTCTGTTGTTGCATTTTGTATTTATACAGTGCGTTTCACGTTTGCTGTCTCAATTAAAAATAAATGTGATGAATAATTTGTTTTTTACCCATTTTTAAGTCAACCCCTGAATTCCAAAGATTTGTTTGCTGATTTAGAGAAAGAAATGAATTTTCTCTACTTTATTTCAGAATTGAACATGTTACAATGCTGTTGACTACAAACATGTACACGTATTTCTCCGTACTCAGGCCAATGATTAGTTGTCTTGGAATTATTCAATTTGTTTCAGAATTTGTTTGAAAAGCTACACCTAAACTGCATGTCGTGAATTGCAAAGTCATTTGTCAACGTCTTGAATTGTTTCTGTGATCCATCAGTTTGTGATGATTGTTTGTATATTTTTAAGCATTAAATTTTCTTGTCAAGACTTCCTCAGTAACATATGAACTGATTTATATGGTATTAAAAATGTATTTTCGTTCTAATCGCTTTTTACATACCTGGACCCAATTCCATGACTCTGTTTACTTTAACCCTAACTCCCTAGCTTCTTTTACAAGGAACTGGACCAAGTCCATCAAAATCCATCAATCTCAGTGCTTCCAATACAAAAATGTACATGACATAATGAAATCCACCACTGACGCACTGGTTGACATTCATGGACTTGCTACACATAGCTTTTATCACAATAGCAGTACAGGAAGCTAGGCAAAATCAATTGGATACCCCTAGAACTGCTTCAGGCCATTAGGCCCAAGTCCATCATACTCCATCAATATTTAATCATGCCAGGCCTTCTGGACCAAGTCCCCCAAAATCCACCAAAACGGGGGGATGGATTTTGATGGAGTTGGGGTGGTAAGGGTTAATCAATGAATCTTTGCTTTACTAAGCTGGACATTTTAGGCCGAGTAAAAAAAATAAGTATCTCCCGTCTGGCCTTTTTGAAAAAATGAGAAAGGTGGGCCTTTTTTTTCTCCAAGATGGCGGATTTTTCAAGATGGCGGATGGATTCTTCAATTTTTGTTGACTATTTTGCTCATGCAAAATTGTGCCCAAAGGAGCCACAACCCTTTCAACATAGTCTACAATTTTGTTAATGGAAACAAATAAAGGCTCAATATTGACAATATCTGTATATTGCAAATGTATGAGTTCAACATATTTAACTGCTTAGTATGGAATTGTAGTTTGGTGCATGTAACATTCCATACTGAGCCAGAGTGAGATTTGTCAAGAGTTTTCCCTGATTTCTGGATTTTTTAAAATCCTCTCTGAAATCTGGAATATGTGAAAGTTTACCATTAACCCTAACAGAACTTAACCCATCAAACCCCAACGACATGTTTTGTTGGAATCTGTCAGGTTGGGTACTAGTACCCTAAACTGACAGTCTTTTCATTGGGTTGGTACAACTCCAGAATCAAAATCAGAAATATGTGTGACTGTGCAGTTCCCATATGGTGTTGCGAAGTCTACTTCACTCTACTTACCTGTAGAGCAACACTACTTATGCATATTCCCCCTACCGGCAGGTATTTTCGCTAAGAGTTATATACAATAGCGCCCTCCGGCGCCCTACCCATAACACCCCGCGGCATGCGTGCCTCGTGAGCGTCCTCTTTTCTCTTAGCGGCAGGTCGGGTAGGACGTGCGTGAAATAGCTCGCTGTTTGCCTCGTCATTTACTACCCTTTTTTGCGTTTAAGAGAAGTATTTAATAAAAGATTTAGTATTCATTAGTTTGTAGAGTTTTCATCATCTTCTTGGTTTCGTTTATTTCATAATTATGAAGCGTTTGGGGAGGGCCGATCTGTCACTAACCGGGGGGAATTCCTCTCCCACGGGACGGACCGAGTCCTCGGGGGACTCTGCCGTTAACGCTACGTCGTTACCGCGGCAGCAGTCTCTCGTCCGACACCCTCAGCCACAGTCGGCTGGGGGAGTTGGCAGTTCCGCCGATCAGTTAAGGGGGCCTCGGTCACCTTCTCCGGTCAACTCAGGCGAAACACCCAAACTAAGGGCACACTCCGGCAAGGTTCCTCCAAAACATATCTCCTGTGCCGGAGCAAAGCCTAAGAAGGGCCGTCAGGGCAAGCGTGGCTCGGCAACGAGCGCCGCTGTGGCACCTGGCCCTCCCCCGATCACGGGGCAGCCCGAGGGGGCTAGCCGTCACACTTCGGTGGGCGCTAGTCACCCGTGTCCTCCCGACACAGTGCCGAACACCACTGGTTGTCGGGATGGGCTATTGCGCGGGCTACCGGCCCGTTCAGTGCTCGCTCAACCCACGGGGCCTGAGGCGCTGTCGGCCGGGTGCATTATGAGCGATACGGAGCCGATCGCCCGGGGGGATCCCGGGCCGACGGCCCCCGTGCCATCTCGCTCAGAGGGACTACCCTCATCATCGGAATTTTTCCGTTGTTCGGGGGTCCCGGTGTCCCAGGTGTCTTCCGATTTTTCTTCGGACACACCTCGGGGCCGTTCTTCTAAGAAGAAGAAGAGTAAGAAGAAGGCTACACGTCGATCACGCCGTTCTTCTTCGGAGTCGGACGACTCCTCTGACCGGTCCCGCCGGGGCAAACGCTCCCGGGGGGAGGACGCGGTTTCCAGAGCAGATTTCCTGCAGGCTTTCCAGTCGATTTCTGATACGCTATCGGCTATGTCTGCAGGCCGCCGGGCGGGCCCCATTGGGGGGCCCCCTGCAGCGGTGGACTACGGCCCACAGCCATCGGTTGTTGGGCCCGCATCGCAGTCTGCAGTCACCGGTCACGCTTGGGTGGCCCGGGAACAAAGGGACATACCGCACACAATTAGTCGTGCTCCCGCGTCCCCGCCTGCGGTGAGAACTTCACAATCGTCGTTCGTTGGCCACGGTTGGGTGGCCCAGGCACAACGGGATATACCACACGTGGTTGACCGTACACCGGAGGCCCGGCCTGCAGCGAGTGTCTCGCATGCATCGGCCGTGAGCCACGGTTGGGTGGATCAGAGGCCGCGGGATCTACCGCGTACGCTGGGATCCCCGCCTGTATTGAGCATTCATCCATCCATGCAGTATGGCTCTGAGGAAGTTGTCCAGCCGCTAGCGCGTGGCTCGGTACAACTCGCCCCTCCAGACGACGTTCGTTCACCGGAGTCAACTCGGCCCTCACAATCGGCTGAGTCATCCGATGACGACGAGGAACCAGACCGATTACAACGGCTGTCTATCTCTGAAACGGAGCTCCGTTTAGTACAGAGGGATATGATACGAGTACTTCATCTACCCTCCGCTGATGAGCCCCCTCCGCCCGATCATAAATCTTTCAAGCGAAGGACGGGCTCCACATCTAGCAGTGATAAAATATTCCCCATACTTCCTTTAGATCAAGTATGCGTGGAACATATCAACAACATCATGTCAACGGATAGATGGCGTCCGTTTCTCAGACGGGAACGAGATTATTTTCGTTTCCCAGCTGAAGATTTTGCGAAGTTTTTCACTCCGCCTACTCTCCCCGACGCAGCAAAAGATAAACTTGCGGCCGATGAGAGTGGTTCGTCTTCCAAGCGACCCTTTGCGGACAAATCACGTTGTAAACTTGAAGACGTTTTGAAGAAGATAGACACAGCTT